TTGAGGGCACCATCTATCAAACTGACAAAAATGACCGGGATCCTCTTGGGAAGAGAAATGGCCAACGAGGAATAGATGCAGAAGAAGGCCAGAATATATGCTCTGAATGTGGGAAACGCTTCAGTAGGAGATCATCCCTGAACAGACATCTCAAGATCCACAGTGGAGAGAGACCCTATAAATGCTCCATATGTGGCAAATGTTTCCTTGAGAAATCAAGGCTATCTTTACATATAAGAAAAGTGCATAAAAGAAAGACTCATTCAGGAAAGGAACTCTACGAATGCCCTGAATGTGGGGAGAGCTTTGTTACAAGGTCCATTCTTGCTGAACATCAGAAAACACACACCAGTGAAGCAACCTATCCATGCCCTGCCTGTGAGAAAAGGTATACAGAGGAGAGATATCGTATTAGGCACCTAATGGCAGTCCACTCAGGAGCACATCTCTTTAAATGTTCTAATTGTGGGAAAGGTTTCATAAAACAGAAAGATCTCATTAGCCACCAAACAGCAGTCCACATGGAGAACAACTGCTATATGAGTCCTGACAATGGGACAAGTGACAAGGAAAAATTGTCCCTAATCAAACATCAGAAGCTGCATATGGGAGAATTTTCTTGTAAAGACCCAAAATGTACAGATAGTTTTGAAGACAACAGAATATTTGCCAGTCATTGTAGGATGAATGAAAAAGAGCAGTCTCATCAACACTTGAATCACCAAATGCATTTTCCGGAGGGAAGTAACCCAGAAGGTTATGTTGGGATGTGCCCTGAATGTGGAAAATGTTTTAGAAATGAGAGATGTTTTGTTAATCATCAGAGAATGCATATGGAGGAGCAATCATATAAGCATGCAGGTGAAGGGGACCCCATCAAGGAAGAAGAGCCACTCCCTGCAAATCAGACAAACCAGCAAAATTTGAAACGTGAGATGTGCTTTGATTGTGGAAAACCGATCTGCACCAATTTAATGCTGGCTGAACCAAAGACTGAAACGGAACAGGCCCTCCATACATGCCCTGATTGTGGGAAAACGTTCCGAGATGGCCGATGTTTTGCTAGCCATCAGAGAACCCATGGGAAAGAACAGTATAAAAAAGAGTTCCAGCAGGAAGCCTCTGTGGAAGATGTGCTGCCTACTGAGGAAAGAGGCTTTCAGTGCCCTACCTGCAAGAGAGCATATTCAACACATTATAATCTCCGGAGGCACCAGCAAATCCACATAGAGTGCAAATCCAACAAAAGTTCCAGTCAGGGAAAGGGATCATCTAAATGGTCCTTCAGTGAGATTCAGAATGCCCAAGGCAAAGGAGAACTCCATCAGCACAAATGCTCTTACTGTGGGAAAGCCTTCAAAGCAAAAAGT